GCACACGATGGGCTCTTTCCCCCTTGCTTGTGCCCACAGCACCGTGGGCACCGTGGACATCCTACCTGTTCTTGCCTTTTGCTCCTTTCCTTCCCCAGCTCCCATATGCTTGCTGGCTTCCATGGCAGGCCCTAGCCCTTCCAGTACGTGGACATCTGCTCCTAAAGCTGCTTTTCAGTGACTGCAGGCAATGCCCTAACTTCTAGCCATTTTTCTAGATGAAAACTTGTTTCCCGCTGGCTGTCGCTGCCAAAGTGCTCTAGGACAGTCCAGATAACCAGATTCTAGCCCTTCCTGCGACTCAATGGGTGACTTTGGACAAATTTCCTCACCTTGGGCCCTCCTTTCTATGCTAGCTTTTGAAAGGAAGCACACAGAGAGGGCTATCCTTGAGCAGCCAGAGGCCTGCAGGCCCAGTGCCACCTAGTCTGGACCACCCAGGAGATGAAGACCAGGCACTTAAGACACAGGAGGAAAGGAGAAGCCTTCCTAGAGGAAAGGATTAGATCTGGAAGGACTTTTGATAAACCCAGTCCTTGAGAAATTAAATCACAGCAGTACCCCATTTGGCATATATGGTGTTAGAAGTCAGGAATGAGACCGAAAGGATCATGACCGATTCTAGAACCTGCATGACACCTCCTGTTTATTCGCCTGGCTCATTCTCTATACTGAATGGCAGTCTTCAATCCTTTAACAAATAGGTATTAAGCATATATCGTGGTTGCAAAGCTGAGCCAGGCAGTGAGGCACCAGTGCTTATAGAGCACGCTCTCCAGGCTCAGGAACCCCAAGGACAGATGGGTACCTATCGTGCCAGGTAGCAGCACATGGCATCTAGAAGCAGGGCTTTCCTCAGTCCCTGGCTGGGAGGGCAGAAGCTGCAAGGGGAAGGGCGAGAAGTCCAGGCCTGCCTAACTGTGCAAGGTCTCTGGGCTGATCTCCCGGTTACTTAGCCCCAGAACATCCTCATGGCTGTGCCTGCCCTTCTTGCCCTTCTCCTCACTCAACCTTGGGCTGGCTCCGCTCACTGAGCTGGGGTCACCTGTTCTGCAGCAAACCTCCTGCCCCTGGAACAGCAGTGCAGATGATCAGCAGCAGCCACTGGGTCCTTCGGGCAGGGAGGCAGGAGTGTGGCGCACCGCCAGATGAGAAATTGCATCCCTAGTGCATGGCAGGGCTAATTAGCTGCTAAGGGGGCTTTGTCAATGTTCACTGAGAATGTGGTCATGACAGTCAGGTAGCGATTCCCACCTGGCCTGACTTGAGCGTGGAAGGCTCTCTGCTGTCAGCACTGGCTGCTTTTGGAGGTGGGTCCACCGCTGGGCACACTCAGGTATGTGCAGTCGTACTGTCTGTGCAGGAAGTAGCTGAAGGAAGAGGGACAGACTGGCAGGAAACCTGACAGGGAGCTGAGTGGAGTGACGCAGATGTGTGTACATAAAGACACCCGTCAGGAGGAATATAAGGTGGTAAAGAACTAAGCAAGATAACCAGAACAGAAAGGAAAGATGCTACTGCGTCTCCCAGGAAGCAGCGTCTCAGGCAAGTCAGCCAACCTCTCTGGGCCAGAGTGCTGTATCCAAGGTACCCAGGGCAGAGTGTGCATGAAACACTTCAGAGAAACGGCCTGTGCAGGCCGCCAGGCCAGGACCGCAAAGAAAAGAGCCAGTGCTCTCAACGGGAGCACTTTTACCCCCCTCCACAGGAGACATGTGGTAACATCTGGAGACATTTTTGGTGCTCTCATCTGAAGGGGTGCTAGCGGCATTTAGTAGGTGGAAGCCAGGGATGTTGCTAAACGTACTATAATGCACAGGGCAGCCCCGTAACCAAGAGAGAATTCTGCGGCTCCAAAGCATCACCATTGCCGAGACCCTGAGCTCAAGGAACAGGCTCAGACCTGCATTCTCTGTGATGTGGGATCTGGGGAGAGCTGTGTACCTCCTTATCTGAAAGATGGGGATAATGAACCTTAGCCACGCTGGGTGTAGTGGCTCATGCCTATAATCCCAGCAGTTTGGGAGGCCGAGGCAGGCAGATCACCTGAGGCTGGGAGTTCGAGATCAGCCTGACCAACATAGTGAAACCCTGTCTCTACTAAAAATACAAAAATTAGCCAGGCGTGGTGGTGCATGCCTGTAAGCTCAGCTACTCGGCAGGCTGAGGCCGGAGAATCACTTGAACCCGGGAGGTGGAGGTTGCAGTGAGCCGAGATGGCACCACCGCATTTGATCGACCGAGCAAGACACTGTCTCAAAACAAAACAAAACAAAATTACCTGTGCCTCTCATCATACAACTTTATGAGGCCCACTCCCCCAATACACGGTAAAACTGCTAACTTTCTAAAGGGCTCTTTCTTCAGCTTTTCTTAGTTTGAAACCTTCATGTTACTAAAGCATCCAGCACGGTGACTGGCATATAGCAAGTGCTCAACAAATATGAAAAAGAGAAAAGCAATACAGCAGTTTAAAAAAAAAAATAGCCCACTTCCCCTCTTTGGCCAGTTTCTTCCGTATCTCTGGGTCTCATTTTTTGCCTAGCCTTTCTATAAAGTTCTACCCAGACAGATCGTAGTGATGTTAACAGAGGCTATCTTGAAAGCCCTCGAGGGATTAGAGATAGGATTAACCATACCCTAAGGACAGGTAGCTAAGGAGATGGGAAGTTTTGCCAAATCACAAGGGGCAGGCTCCCAGACCCATCCAGGAGTCCTGTGCTTCCTGCCCTTATGGGGCAGAAGCAAGTGTGGCAGCCACACCAGGGGCTCAGCTCACTGGGAGGTGAGGCTTCCCAAAGAGCTGCACCAGCTGTGAACACTTACCCTACAGAAGCTGACTCAGAAAGTGAGACAGCAGCTTGGTGGTGGTGTGCAGTGGTGGGCAGTGAAGCCAGACCCCAGCCCAGAGAGTGCTGCTTTATCCTGTTCCTCCTAGAGCCCTTCCAATGTAACCAGCCTTGCGGAAGCTGCTGTACAGGGACCAAGGGCATGATCCACCCTTGAACTTGCCATCCAACTGGGAGGGCCAGATGTCCCCTTGAGATCTGATGAGTAAGAGACTACCTCACAAAGTATGCGCAAGTGCTGGAACAGAGGGCAGGCGTACTCACAGCCGACAAGCCAAGAGGCAGAACAGAGTGGGCCGGTGCCTAGGCAGACAGGCAAACATGAAGAGCTGCATTTTGTGAGTTCAAGATCCTTGCCATCTCGGACTTCAGTTTCTGTCTCAAGCCTTTTGAAGCCGGTGGGGCCAGACACCATCTTGTCCACACTGCTATAAGGACGAGGACATGGGCCAGCAGGGAGAGGCACCCTGCCTGGGCACTCCTGCCTTGTGGCTGGCCCTCTTCCCACTATGCCAACTTGTTTCCTCTATAACATATGGTCTCCCCATCATTTCTACCAAGAAAGTGTGAAAAACCCCATCTTGGCACATGGAGAAACTGAGGCAGAAAGGAAGGCCTGGCTTAAGGCTGCAGTGACTTGGAGATTCCAATCAGGGATCCTTGCAGATTAGATGTCAGGGCAGGGGAGGGACCTGGGTGTGCTTTGGGTCTAGAGGGGGTAAAGGGACAAAGCAGGGCCTGCTCTTCTGGTAAGGGAGGCACAGATGCCCTTGGCTAACTTGCTTGGAGGCCGGTCCCTTCCCCAGGCCACCTTCCTCATCCCCAGAGGCACCCACCCTCCACACCAGAGAGTGATCTCTTTGTCCCATTGCAATTTACACATCTCATGTCCCATACCTTCAAGGTGTCCCCCTCGAGCTGAGGTGTAACACCCCCACACCCCACCTCCCCCCTCCCTTCCCTCCCCTCCAGAATGAGTTCATGCCACACTGCCTGGCCTTGGTACCTAAGGAAGCACTTCCCAGAAGCATTTCATCTTCATAAAAGCTCAGGGAGGTGGGCCAGAGCCCCTTCTCCACACGCCCTAGAAGCCAGCCTTGGGATTAACAGAGAAGACCCTGGGGACAGGCTCACCCTTCTTTTCCCTTCCCCTCCCCACTGCCAGAGAGATCGGTCTCCTCAATGGCCGCCACATGTAGTCCCTACTTCCTACTTCCTCAGAAGCAATGCCTGGCTCTCACAGCCCAGCCAGAGCAGCCCCTTTTCTGGCTCTCACATCAGCTGCTTTGCAGACATCTGTACCTCTCCCCCAGGTGCTGGTAGTGTCCTAGGGTTTTTTAGACAGAAAGAAAGAGGATGAGAGTTTGGTTCAGAGGTCACTGCCGCATGGCTCTTTCACAGGGCTTGGATCCCCCATCGCCCTGCCCGCAGGGCCGGCTCACAGAGTCTGCGGCTTGGCAATTTCTCCCAGGTCCATTCACAAACTCTCCTCAGCCCTCTCCAGTCACCCAAGTGGGGAGGGCAGAGTGGAATTGCTTACTGGGTCTCCCGGCCCAGCCTCATGGCAATTAGGCTGACCTGCTCTGGCGAGGCACAGGCTCCTAAACATGGCCTGACTCTCACAGGAGGCGAAGGCCTGTCTTTGGCCAAAGTGTAACCTGGAAGCCCTGGTTGGTGAAGGGGTCCGAGGACCCCGTTAGAGTTGGGGGAAAAAAGGCAAATGCTCCTGTCCTCAGGGCCCAGCCTCCCATACCCCCAATCCCCTCTCAGCCAAGCCCCCTCCCTGCCTTGGCTGTAAACCAAAGTTTACCGACTGAGGGAAGGAACAGTCCCAGGTAAAGGCACTGTAAGGACCCCCACATAGGTCTGCAGCAGGCAGCAGCCAAGGAGGCCGGGACCACTCACGCTGAGACTGCCAGGACGGCACCGGCAGGGAAAGAGACCTCAGTATGAGTGCTCTCAGAACAGCAGCATCAAATTCTGCCCCTCGCTGGGGGAGGCCGTGGGATCTTCCCCTCATTCAAGTCTAGTTCAGGAGCCTGCAGGGCCGGGGCCAGGAAGACCCCTGCAGCCAGTGCCCCTGCAGTTCCCGCTGCACCTTACACCTGGAGGTCGGCGGCTAGAGCAAGACTGGAACTTGGGATCCCAGGCTCAGGGTCCCGCCCTCTTCCCTTTTATTCCACCAATCTCTTGGGTGGGGAGCAGTGGGGGGAACCAGAAGCACCAGGAAGCCTGGGAAAGGAGAAGCCACTGCGGCTGCCCCAGATACCCCATCCCATTAAGGTTTAAAGAATGGCCCTCACCCCATCTGGCGACCAGCGGAGGGGGCGGGGCACAAAGGCGAGCAGACACTGGTCAAGCTTCCACTTCATGTAAACAAGGAGGCCGTGGCACTGACCCCTGCCCAGTCACCGACAGTCTGGTGGAGGCGTGTAACTGAGATGCTTCGGACCCTCTCATTTGGGATCCAGGGTCCCTGAGACCAGGACAGAGGCTGCAAGGCAGGAGGCCAGTTGGAGTCTGATGTGCAAACTGGTGCAGTGTGCGACCTGAGCTCTCCATGACACAGGACAGGGCAGGCGAACATCCACACGTCCTGCCCACCACCATCCCGCAGCTCAGGAAATCACGCAGTTGCTGGGCTTGGCAGAACTGGGACTTGTTTTACCTGCAAAGGCAAAGGACAGAGGCGGGGAAGGATGTATGTGAAACACTTGGTGGATTCAGCTTCAGTCCCTGCCCTGTGTGCTGTCTACATCTCCAGTTGAGGGGCTGGGGTCACTGTCTCCTTCCCAAGCTGCTGATTTGGAAAGCAAGTCAGTAGAGGGCACCTGGGAAAGCAGAAGGGAAGATTCTGCTTGTCCCAGCAGCCTCGGCAGGAGCCCCACTGGGTGGGACATCAAGGTGACCACCATCTCCTGACCGAAGAGGGGTGGGGGAAGGATCCAGTCCGCAGAATCAATGACGACAGCCATCAACTCCAAGTCTTGGCTGCTGTGTGTAAGGATGAGCCATTCTTTGGTTTCTTTACTTTTCTAATAAACTTGCCTTCACACACACATACACAAAAGTCTCGCCAAGAGGCCGCTCACTACCAGCTAATACATGGCAGCTCCACAGCCTGCAAAGTAAGACTGTGGTCCTTCTCTCCGGTTCCCCTCCCCGGCTGCCCCATTCCACCGCTGAGGTGTCCACAGCTCCCAGAGCCAGCCAGCAACAGCGACGGAACCTGGCCTTCCCAGCCCAGTTCCAACTCCTCCTGCCACAGGCCTCCTAGGCTGGAAGAAGGACAGCTGGCGCCTCAGGAAGGGCTGGCACTGGCCAAGAGGTGCCACATGGGGTGGATCACACTGCTTAGGGCGCGGCTTTGAGGGGAGGATGGAGAGGAACGTGCTGCCTGTAGGGAGGGAAGGGGGAGAGAAAGCTGCCCCCCTTCCAGCCAGAGAAGCTGATTTCTCCTCTTCCCTAGGCCTCTACCATTCCTTCCCACTCCCTTTACAGTCCTGAGATGAGGCCTGCGGTTCCTTTGGCTGGATTCCTGCTCTCGGACCTCTGGAGGGAGTGTGGGGGAGTAGCAAGGCAGGCCTGACACCTGTGGGCCTGCGAGGTGTCAGGCGTTGAAGCGGGGAGCCTGTGTCCACAGAGCGCCGGCTGCCTTTCCGCAGGTGGAAGGCACTCGTGTTATTTCCTGCCAGTTCCCCCCACACAGCAAGGGCTGCCTCCCTGGTGCTCACACAACCTTCCAGTATCACTTCAGCTGTGAATTTAATTAAGGCCACGTCTGCCTCCTTTCCTGGGCCATGAGCACGACCCACCGAACAGAGTCCAACTTGGAGCCCTCCCCTGCCACACAGGCTGCTGCTCCTGCCCACTGCACTGTGACCCACGGCCTTGGGCCTCATCCATCCAGGCAGACTGAACGAGCTCTTCGGGACTGACCACAAATCCAGCTTCACCCTCATTAAGGGTGTTCCCCCACCCTTGGGCAGGAGGCTGTACCCAAAGAGCTCCAGGGCCAAGGCGCTGGGGGTCACCTTCCGCGGTGATGCTGAGCGCGTCTGGGTGGCTCTGCTAGCGGGATGAAACGCGGCCGTCCTAGACTCACTCGCTGCTGCAACGGATACAACCATCCCCACTTCCCCTCCTTAGCTGGTTTCATTTGCGTGGCCCACTAAGCAGATGTCAGTTCCTCCCCAGAGGCAGCAGCATTTTGGAGGCAGGTAAGCGAATCAACCTCTGGATCGTGAAACAGGGGAGGTGGTATAGCTGGACATGGAATGGCGGGTGGTGGAGGGGGTAGCTGCTTCCCAAGCCTGCACACCGCCCGGCTGGCTGCCTCCAGGAGAAGCCTGGGTAAGGCAGGGGCAGGGCCCGTCTTCACCAGCACCGTGCTCCCCACTTTTTTGTAAGGCAGGGTGAAAGCCTGGAGAGAGCACCTAGACTCAGAATTCATTTCCTAGCCCCGGACAGGACAGAGAAACTGGCTTGGCTTGAGGACAAACTGTGTGTCCCCTGTCATTCCCTGAGTGCTCACGTATTGTGAGCTGACCACGTGTGGGGAGTCAGCACTGCTCAGGTGAACAGGGAAGGTGTATAAATGGCCAGAATAGTCTTTTTTCCAAAGTATGCGAGGCCTGGGAGCTTCAGAAGTGACACCAAGGTGGAGGTGAAAATGGGTGCAGGGTGGGAGGAGGGGCGGCTCAGCAGAGTGAAGCCGTGTGACGTAAGCATGGGGTGAGGGTGGCAGCCTGGGGCACTAGGGACCTGCAGTCAGTCTGGTTTGCTGCCAGGTAAGGCAGTGCAGGCGAGAGGGAGGCAGAGGTCACCCACACGGAAGCCATGACAAGGACAATGACGTGCAAGCTTCATGCACAGGCTCCAGGGCTTCGCATTCCCTGTATCGGGAAGAGTCTTCCCTCGGATGTCCACAGGGCCCTCCTCCCTCCATTCAAGTCTTGTTCTGAGGTTCCTTGGTTAGGGTGGCCTTCCCTGACACCCTTCATAGAATGGCCATCCCCTCACAATCCTGGTCTCTGCCCAGGGTAACATGCTCCATAAAAGCAGGAACCATGTCCATTCTGTTCACGGCTGTGCCAGGAACTTACAGCAGGGCCTGGCACAGAGCAGACACTTCGTAGATACATATTTATTGAATAAAATGCATGAGACGGCAATGGCGAGCTACTTAGGGGTTTAGCGCAATCCTAGTAATAACAGTAATAACAGCAGCAGATGCACCAGATGCAGCAAGAGCAGGAGAGAGATCTGAGACCCGCAGCCCCAAGGGATGACACAGGAGAACAAGTCCCCCAGTCCAGAAGCCTGGCAGCCACGCTCTACAGACTGCCAGCCAGCCAGGGGGCCATCCACACATAAATCCAGGGACCCCAGGAGAGTTCCGGAAGGGGACTGTCACTGCAGGTCACCTCAGAGAAACTGGGAAGCAAAGCACAGGTCCAGGGGCTCTGGGGCAGGAAAGGACCCTGAGGCACTCTGGGAAGGACCCTGAGGCACTCTGGGAAGCAAGTTGCTGCTCTCATCTTCCTCTCGGCCCCCACGACACCAGGGGAAAGGGTCGGTCCTCTATTTGGGGCTCTGGCTCTTCCAAACACTTTTTTTTGTTTTTTTGTTTTGAGACAGAGTCTTGCTCCGTCGCCCAGGCTGGAGTGCAGTGGTGCGATCTCTGCTCACTGCAACCTCCGCCTCTCAGGTTCAAGAGATTATCCTGTTTCAGCCTCCTGAGTAGCTGGGACTATAGGCAAGTGCCACTATGCCCAGCTAATTTTTGTATTGTTAGTAGAGACGGGATTTCACCGTGTTAGCCAGGATGATCTCGATCTCCTGACCTGGTGATCTGCCCGTCTCAGCCTCCAAAAGTTCTGGGATTACAGGCGTGAGCCACCGCGCCCGGCCCCAACAGTCTTTAAAGGTGCAGGGAAACGGTGCCGACCCGAGCCTTCTGGAGATGGCTATGACATCTGCAGAAGGCCGGGGAGGCAGGAGACCACACTGCCCTTTCCACCCTGGGCGGCCATGGACACAGGGCCTGGCCAGGCCGAACCTTGGGGGTCTCATTGTGAGATGCTATCATCAGGCTGGATGGCAGTGAGGAGGACGCCAGCTCCGTGTGATGGCGTATGGCACCATGTCTCTTGCCACTTCAAAAGTGTTGGCCATTTCCCAGTCATCTCCCTGGGGGAACTGGGTGGGGTCTCAGGCACAGCACAGGGACCTCCTCCCCTAGGCTGGCAGCACTCCAAGGGCAGGGCCTCATCTGTGTCTCCTCAGTCATTGCGGAGTCTGCTGGTCTGAGGACCCTCTACACTGGGGGAGCTACACTGGAAAATGAGGGCCCTAATTTAAAATGCAGAGTCCTAAGCCCCGCCCAGCGGTACAGACTCTATTTGCTGGATTTTATTTTTATCTTTAAAAATTTTATTATTATTATTTTGAGATGGAGTCTTGCTCTGTCACCCAGGCTGGAGTGCAGAGGCGCGATCTCAGCTCACTGCAGCCTCCGCCTCCTGGGTTCAAGCGATTTTCCTGCCTCAGCCTCCCAAGTAGCTGGGATTACAGGTTTGTGCCACCGTGCCCGGCTAATTTTTGTATTTTTAGTAGAGACAGGGTTTCACCATGTAGGCCAGGCTGGTCTCGAACTCCTGACCTCAGGTGATCTACCTGCCTTGGCCTCCCAAAGCGTGTTTGTTGCATTTTAAAATTCATATTGCTTTTACTTTTTTTTGAGACAGGGTCTCTCTGTCATCCAGACTGCAGTGCAGTGACTCAATCACAGCTGACTGCAGCCTCGACTTCCCGGGTTCAAGTGATCCTCCTGCCTCCACCTCCCAAGTAGCTGGGACTACAGGCACATGGCACTACCCCCAGTTAATTAAAAACAATTTTATTTAAGAGACAGGGTGTTGCTATGTTGACCAGGCTGGTCTAGAACTTCTGGGCTCAAGTGATCTTCCCAGCTTGGCCTCCCAAAGCACTGGGATTACAGGCATGAGCCACCGCGCCTGGCCTCGTTGCATTTTTACCAAGGCTCTCCACTGAGGCTGCTCTGTGAGGTTGGGGGTCCCTGACCCAGGCAGCCTGTGTGGAGCTCGCGGAGGGCACAGAAGCTCCAGAAGACATGAGCACTCCCAGCAGGTGAGGGCGGGAAGATGCAGAAGGAAGAGGTGCCTAGCTTCTGCCACTAGAGGGCGCCGTGAACCTTGAAACCGCTGGGCACCCGTGGCCCCCAGCTGGATCCCCAGCCCCAAAGGAGGAAGCAACTTCCCTAAGGTTCTCCCGAAGGCCACACCTGGGTTTGCAAAAATTTGCATGCTGTTTGACAACTATATACTCCTTATCAAGCAATTTTACAGGCTGTCAGCTCTGAGCTTTTTCTATTTTTTCTCTTATGACAGAACCTGTCATCAACCCAGGTTCTCCCTTGACAAGAGGGCAGCACAGACAGAAAGAACAGAGGCAGAATCTGAACTCCAGGGGACCTCGGAAACCCTCCCTGGTGCAACCCGTCCTCTTCTAGATGAGGACACAGCCCTAGGGAGGGGACAGATGTGTCCTGGGTACAGCGAGCAATGTCTCCTGAGCTGAGAGCCAGGTGGCAGCTGCTCTGGGAGGTTCTGAACGTTTACCAGGGGAAGGGGACACTTGCCCTGTGTGGGGGTCCAAAGGCAGGAGCTCAGGTTCTCACTGATTCCCACCGTGGGAGTCCCATGCTCTCCGGGCCCCACCTTCTCACACATGCAGTCCTGGCTGCTTAGCTGCTGCTGCCTGAGGGGAAACACTGAAGCAGCCCCACTTGGCCATGGTGTGGGAGGCTGGAGGCCATGAAAAAGGGCCTTTTAGGAGAGGAGCTCCTGGCCAGGCACAGTGGCTTGTGCCTGTAATCCCAGTGCTTTGGGAGGCCCGGAGGTAGGAGGATCACTTGAGGCCAGGAGACCAGCCTGGGCAACATGGTGAGACCCTGTTTATACAATTAAAAAAATTAGCCAGGCTTGGTGGCACACACCTGTGGTCCCAGCTACTCAGGAGGCTGAGGTGGGAGAATCGCTTGAACCTGGGAAGTTGAGGTTGCAGTGAGCTGTGATTGCACCACTGCACTCCAGCGAGACGTTGTCTTAAAAACAAACAAAAACAACAAAAGACAGGAGAGGAGCTGCTGCTTCTCCCCCAGGCCTTGGGAGGGAGAGGAAAGGTGTGTGAATTTCAGGGCTGCAGGTACTGGGGGCCCACCCAGGTGGGCAGAGGACTTGCCGGAGGAGGCTGTTCTATGTTTGTCTAAAGGATGGACGAGGAACGGGGTGATGGTTCCGGGCTGTCCGTGCCCTTGCCCTCACTCTTCCCTCTCTCTCTCTATCCCAGCATCAGGTGCCCTGGAGAGGAGCTTCCCGAGGGCCCCGTCCGTGTCTGCAAGGCTGGTTCCTGGGCACCGTGTGCAGGCACCAAACAGCGGCAGCAGGGGCAGGGCCGCCGCGACCACCCGAGAGGTGAGAGCAGGGACATGGATGCGGAGGGACACGCAGAAGGCATCGGGAAGGGACAAGACAATGGGCTTTGAGTTTCCATGGAAACCACACCTCAGGGCGAGGGGCTGAAGGAAGAGAAAGCTTCCACTCCACTTCACTCAGGACTTGGGAAACAGCCCTTGCTGCTGTAGGGCTCGCCCCCTCCTTCCCGCTTCCCCCTCCTTCCCCTCTTCCCCCTCCCTCCCTTGCCAGGTGTTCACCATGGCAACCCTTCCTCCAAACCAGAGGTACTGAGCAGCAGCAGCAGCAGCAGCTGGCGTTAGGGGAGCCAGGGAGCCCAGGAGAAATAGTGACGGGGCCAGCCACCCCTCCCCTGACAGACCATGGCTGTGCCCAGGCCTGGTCTTGAATCCTGGCCTTACTACCACTTCCTGTGACCTGGGACCACTTCATTCACCTCTCCGAGCCACCTGCCGCCTCTGTGCCTGAAGGGTGGTTGTGAGGGCAGAAGGGGAGAGAGAGCGCCTGTGCAGGACCTGGCAGGCCAGCAGCTCAGTCACCATCCCCAGGCCAAATGGAGGGAACGCCCTGGCGCTCCCACTGTGCCCACAGCCACAGAGGCGCCCAGGCCTGTTCGAACTCCAAGAAGCAAAGTTAGCCAACATTTCCTGAGCACAGACTGGGTGTGTCAGGCTCCAAAGCAGTGCTGGGGAATCAGCAGAGGGGATGACACTTGTGCTCCCTGCTCTCATGCCATCACAATCCAGTCAAAGCTGGTGTGCAGAAATGCAGGAGTCCGGGGAGCCCTTGGACTGGGCACACAAGACCCCAGGCCCTGTCACTGCCCACCTGGCCAGCCAGAGCCAAGTTCTCATCACTGGGCTCCACAGTGATGGACGGAGAAATCCCACCACGGAAAGTCCTCTGACTCAGGGATGCAGAAATGAGAAAGGCACCACCACCAGCCACCTGAAAGGCCACCCCGGAGACTGCTGCGGAGAGAGACATAAAGGCCAGGGCCTTTTGGGGATCCCAGAGAGATGCCCAGGAAGATGCTGCCATGGAACAATCCCACCCAGGGACAAGCAGCCAGGCAGACAGCACTCAGCAGAGGGACGTGGAGAAACCAAGTCAGACTGCCCATCACAGAGACAGGAAAGTGGGTCAGGGCACTGGTCAGGGCACTGGCAGGGTACAGGGGAGGGCGGGGTGTGTCTGACCAGGTGAGATCCTGACAATAGGTGATCTGGCAAGGAAGCAGGTTTGCTAGAAAGAGCCCTCAACTCAGAACCAGGGTCTAGTCGCAGCCATGCACCCCACCATGCGGATCCCCCGTTTCTTTTCTTACAAAGGAGAAAGTTTCTCAGCTTATTTGATTTGTTGGGTTACCATGAGGGCTGATCTGAACGCCTTCTAGCAGTAGTAGCAGAAGCCCTCAGACCACTCCATGCCAAGCCTGGAATCCTTTTCTTCTTTCAGAAAAGAGGAAAATGAAACTCAGAGCTGCAGGACCTGCCCAAGGCCTCCAGGCAGCTAAAGGCTGAGGCCAGAATGGGAACCAAGGACCCCGGAACCCCAGAGCTCCTGCCCTCTGTGCCCACAGATGGAGTCTGCTCCTCTGCAGGTATGAGGCAGTGCTCCTGGGTAAGGGCCGATGTGGGGCCAGGGCCAGAGGCCTGTGGAGACACCAGGCCAGAGGGAAGAGGGCTCACCTGAGATGTCAGCACTGGAATTCTCGTTGGGCCTCTTCCCTGTCAGAAACTCCACTTCAGGGACAGTCTCAGTGGAGACGGAGCTGGCCATGCCGTTGGGCGCCGTGGGCCTCTTGGCTCGGCGACTGAAGAGCCTGCTGCTGAAGCGCCTGGCGGGGGCGGCCTCACCCCGGGCTGCTTCTCCCATGCCATTTTGGCTGGGTGCCTCTCGGGATTTGGGCTTTAGGTCTCTGTGCATGTGAGAGACCATCTTGCCATCCTTCCGGCTCAGCTCTCCCAAGGGGATGGGCTCCACAGGGGGCAGCACCTGCTCCACCGTAACCAGGTCTCTCAGGAAGCTCTCCAGGCGCCGGGCCGACTCACCACCGCTGCCACCATCCTCCTGCCCCTCCGGGTTGCCGCCTGCCTCCCGCTGTTGCCGGGCAGCCCAGCGCATCATCTCCCCAGGTGGGTGGCGGCAGCCTGACACCAAGGCGTACTTGGGGTTGATGAGCTTTCGAGCCACAGTGGAGGAGTAGTGGAGGCCAATCCTGCCCGCCAGGCCCAGCTGCCGGTACAAGTCCACCTCCTCGGAGATGGCGTACAGCTCCCGGAACTCTGTGTCAAAGGGCTCCACGTTCTGCCCTGTCAGGAGCAGGAGGAGGTTCCTGTCCACGTAGGAGGAACTCCAGGTGAACCTGGGAACGTGGGGATAGAAAAGCAAGACGCATGTGCCCAGGCCTCTCTCTTGCCCTGCCCCTGCCCCCCCGCCCCCCGCCCCTCCGCTGTGGCCAGACCCTTGCCGCAGGTGGAAGGCTCCTTGTGGGCCACACTCTGGACTGGCCTCCCTCCACTCACCAGCAGACTCCCTTTCCCCAGAGTTTGGCCTCAAATGAAGCAAGCAGGCAGTAGGTGCAGGGAAAGAGCATGGGAAGTCAGGCCGGCATTCAAACCTGGTTTATATTCTCGTGTGCCTTGTAAGCTGGGGCTCCCAGGACATATGTTCACAGGGTTGTTGTGAGGCGCAAATGAAGTAACTCATATAAAACATTTAGCTCAGTCCCTGGCACAAACACACATTTAAAAAATAGTAACTGCAGCTGCCACTATTATGAATATTATTCTACTCTGTATTGGTTCTTTTCTGATTTTTTTAAGCACTTAGTGTCTGCAGAAACCCATACTCTGACCATGTGACAGGACTTACGCTGCTATTCATAGTTTCGTGTGCTCAGGTCTCTCTTCTCGTCACCCATATTTTAATTTACTTGGAGGGCAGATATTACACAGATACAGTCTCTTGTGTTCCTGGTAAATTATTTTAAAATCAGAATTCTGAGGCCAGGTGTGGTGGCTCACATCTGTAATCCCAGCACTTTGGGAAGCTGAGGTGGGTGGATCACTTAAGGTCAGAAGTTCGAGACCAGCCTGGCCAGGTAAAACCCTGTCTCTACTAAAAATACAAAATTTAGCTGGGCATGGTGGTAGGCGCCTGTAATCCCAGCTACTTGGGAGGCTGAGGCGGGAGAATCGCTTGAATCCGGGAGGCAGAAGTTGCTGTGAGCCGAGATCACACCACTGCAGTTCAGCCTGGGCCACAGAGCAAGACTCCATCTCACAAAAAAAAAAAAAAAAAAAAAAAATCTGGCGACATTCCCTGCACACCACATCTTCCTGTTTCTTTCCAGATCTGGTGCATCCCACTTCCTGCTTGTCCTATCTAATAACTAGCCTCAAAATGCAACTGGCTGCAAATGGACCATGAAAAGCAGGCAGTGCATAATGCCTAGGAAGAGTTGACCCTCTTTCTAGAATAATCCATCAACCAGGAGGTTTGAGGGAAGGGACCGGGCAGAAAGCTGTCCTTTGCCATTGCGTCAGACGATACCAGTTACAACTCATGATGACGGAGGCTCCAGTCTGGCATCTTCCTGAACACCTACCTGGAATCAAGGCCTCCTTCTTGACTGGGCCCTTCTTTGACCCGGCCCAGCTCACCTGTAAGATCCAGTGGCCACTTTGTCACCATCCACCATCAGGAACCTTGATGACAGGGTCCCCTTGATCCTCCCCATGGGCATATAGAAGCCGACGCCTGTCACAGAGCGGACACGGATGTTCTGTTGGGAAGAGTAGAAGGCACCGTCACCTGGGTTGGGCCGGCCTCTGTGCCTGGTCCTTGCTTCTGCAGAGGAAGAGCCCGCTTGTCTATGGACCCTGCCTGCAGGCTCCTGTCTTCACTAGACGCCCTGCTTCCTACAGCCTTCCATAGGGAACCCTCTTTGGTGAGCAGGAAGAAGTCCCCAAATCTTGCTTTAGGCATGGACAAGCCCAGGGTGGTTCCTGCCTGTTCTCAAAAGGCCCAGGAAGAGAACAACAGCCCTCACTTTGAAGTCAGTGATTCTGCAAGCTAAGCACCCCAGGACCAGGCCAGAGCTGCCTCCTTCAGTCTCAGCAGCCTAGGGATAAAATCGAAACTGGGCATATGATTCAGTAGTTAACAGTAAAGCCAAGGTTAAAGGCTTGACTTTCAACAGAAGGGAAGGTGTTGAGATCTTGAAGTTTACCTGAGCCCCCATCAGGGAAGAGGCAGGGGGGAGCCACAGGAGGGGCAGAGTTAGTCCCTGTCTCATCTCCTGACCACTTTCCACCCCAGTGGTGCAACTTACCCGAATCCGGAAGTCGGTGAGCTGCAGGTCCTGACACATCTCCAGGAAATACTTCACTCCCGCCTCGTCCAGAATGATGTACACTGGGACCCGGCGCTTACAGGCAACATCCACAATGTCTTGAAAGATATCACCATCAGTGAAGAGGTCCATGACCACAGCAATGACCTGGGTGGGGAAGGGCACTGGTGAGGCATGCAGTGTCTACACGCCCACAGAGGCAAGCCCTGCTCAGACGGGACCACCTCGCCCTGGGGTCACTTGTGGCCAAGAGCCAAAATCTCCACCTGTACCATTCCTGGGGCTTCACATCCCCCGACCTCTGAGCACATCTGAGCCCTGGAGATGGGCCTGGGGGTGCAGGCCGTGTGCTTGTACTTCCTCCTGGACAAATCCCCACCTCCCCATCCTGGGGGTCTTCTAGCAGCCCTTAAAAAGCTGTATCGGGGCTGGGTGAGGTGGCTCATACCTGTAATCCCAGCACTTTGGGAGGCCAAGGCAGGTGGATCACCTGAGGTCAGGAGTTTGAGACTAGCCTGGCCAACATGGTGTAACCCTCTATCAAAAATACAAAAAATGGGCTGGGCATGGTGGCGGGCACCTGTAATCCCAGCTACTCAGGAGGCTGAGGCAGGAGAATTGCCTGAACCCGGAGGCGGAGGTTGCAGTGAGCCGAGATTGTGCCATTGCACTCCAGCCTGGGCAACAAGAGCGAAAAAAAAAAAATTACCCAGGCATGGTGGCAGGCACCTGTAATCCCAGCTGCTGGGGAGGCTGAGGCAGGAGAATTGCTTGAACCTGGGAGGTGGAGGTTGCAGTGAGCCAAGATCGTGCCACTGCACTCCAGCCTGGATGATAGAGTGAGACTCTGTCTCAAAAAAAAATGAACTGAACTGAACTGAAATGAACTGAAATGAAATGAGCCATATCATGGGAGATCTAGGGGGCTGAGGAAAGTTGCTCCTGACACCCTAGAAAAACAAGCAGGCACAAGGAGATGCCATTACTGAGATGCCAGGGGTGGGCTCATGTCTGTGAGCCACAGATCTGCTCTAACATCACTTTCTCAGCAGGCCTGGATGCGCCGATGGCCTTGTAGCTGTGTGAAGCTCTGTGCTTCCCCAGGCACAGATCCAGGCAGAGCTCCTGCTGGCTTGGATTTCCTTGGCCTTCAGGTGTCTATCCCATACCACCCCATCCTCAAATCAAAGTCACTGCTCAGGACCCTTCATTTACAAAAATCGGCCCTGAGTGTCCACCCTGGAGGCAAGGTTTATGCAGCCTGAGGCCGCTCCACCTTTCCAGCCACAGCTACTTCCAGCTGCCTACACAAACCATGCTCCACACTCCAGCTGAAGGTTTTCTTATTGGCCCGAACACCGTGCATGTGATGCTGAGGAAAAGGCCTCGGCTTTGGGGTCGGAGAGATTTTAACTACGGATCCACCACTTCCTATTTGTGACCTTAGGCAAGTCACTTAACCTTAATGAGACTCTGTTTCCTCATCTGCAAAGTGAGGATACCTTGTATTTTACACTTTTGCCCTGAGGATTACGGATAACTTTGTAAGCAGCAAACACAATGTCTGGCAAGTCATAAGTCCTCAGTTAACGGTAACTGCTATACAGTCCAGGAAGTCGGCTTGCCTTCGCAACTGAAAGGACGGACTCTTAAAGTCAGGAAGACTAGGCTAGTATCCCCATGCCACGGCCTGCCCAAGCTTCTTTGGCCGCAAAATAGAGCTAACAACTGCACCTAGATCTCAAAGGGTTGTCCCAGGACTAAGTGAGATGCACCACGAAAGTGCTGAGTGCAGGGCCGGTGGCTCACGCCTGTAATCCCAGCACTTTGGGAGGCCAAGGTGGGGGGGTCACTTGAGGTCAGGGTTTTGAGACCAGCCTGGCCAATGTGGTGAAACCCCATCTCTACTAAAAATACAAAAATTAGCCAGGCATGGTGGCGGATGCCTGTAATCCCAGCTCCTGGGGAGGAAGCTAAGGCAGGAGAATCGCTCATTGCAACCCAGGAGGCGGAGGTTGCAGTGAGCTGAGATTGCACCATTGCGCTCCAGCCTGGGGAACAAGAGCGAGGCTCCATCTCAAAAAAAAAAAAAAAAAGAAAGTGCTGAGTGCCCACCTGGCACCAGGTGCACTCAATCACATGTGTGCTCTGCCATCACCCTGACTCTAAAGACTCCAGTGCCCTGCCCTACACAATACCATTTAAAGTTCTTCACAACTCTTACATTTTGAGAAAGACAAAACAAACAACAACAACAACAACAAAAACTGTTTTATCTGAAGAATGAGAGACCTTTAAATTACCAGGCCCAGAGAGGCATTTAAAATGTGATAGCGCCGGGCGCGGTGGCTCAAGCCTGTAATCCCAGCACTTTGGGAGGCCGAGACGGGCGGATCACGAGGTCAGGAGATCGAGACCATCCTGGCTAACACGGTGAAACCCCATCTCTACTAAAAATACAAAAAACTAGCCGGGCGAGGTGGCGGGCGCCTGTAGTCCCAGCTACTCGGGAGACTGAGGCAGGAGAATGGCATAAACCTGGGAGGCGGAGCTTGCAGTGAGCTGAGATCTGGCCACTATACTCCAACCTGGGCGGCAGAGCGAGACTCCGTCTCAAAAAAAAAAAAAAAAAAAAATGTGATAGCAGCCAGATACAGTGGCTCACGCCTGTAATCCCAACACTTTGGGAGGCTGAGGTGGATGGATCCCCTGAGGCCAGGAGTTTGAGACCAGTCTGGCCAACATGGTGAAACCCTGTCTCTACTAAAAATACAAAAATTAGCCGGGCATGGTGGCAGGCGCCTGTAATCCCAGCTACTCAGGAGGCTGAAGCAGGAGAAATGATTGAGCCAGGAAGGCGGAGGTTGCAGTGAGCCAAGATTGCGCCACTGCACTCCAGCCTGGGGGACAATGCGAGACTCCATCTTAAAATAAAATAAAACAAAACAAAATAAAATAAAATAGCTGTCATGTCTCACTCCCCTTCAAGCTAAATAATTACTATTAGTAAGTGGCTTGAAGCCACTTGCTGTATGAGGCCTCTAGACTCACTCTAAGTAGCCATAAAATGCTACACACTCTATACAGTTAACAAGGTAGGCTGGGCACAGTGGCTTACACCTATAATCCCAGCACTTTGGAAGGCTGAGGCAGGAGGACTGCTTGAGCTCAGGAGTTTCAGATCCGCCTCAGCAACATAGCAAAACCCTGACTCTACAATACAAAAATTAGCTAGGCATGGTGGCGCATGCCTGTAGTTCCAGCTACTTGGGAGGCTGAGGCAGGAGGATTGCTTGAGCCCATAAGATTGAGACTGCAGCGAGCCATGATGGCACCACTGCATTCCAGTCCAGCCTAGGCAACAGAGTAAGACTCTATCTCAAAAAGAAAAAGAAAGAAACAATGTATAGCCAATCACTGACAACGCTGTTTCTGTAAACCAATGAGACTTCCTGACCAATGACTTTGGTTGTCCCCCCCCAACCACCCCTTACCCCTGCCAAATCCTGATTTCATCCTTTTTTCTTTAAAATCTTGAGCCTCCCCAAGGAAACCTGGAAGTGTGTCCCGGGATGCCATCCTAAATCTTGGCCCAAATAAACTCTCTATGCTAATTTTGCCTCAGTGTCTTCCTTTGAGGTTGATACTGTGATAATCACTCATGAAGGGAGAATGAATTCTTTCTGAGCCCCATAGGCAGAGAGAGGACCTAAAGACTAATAAGCTACAGCGCTGTTTCAAGGGGTTAATCCAAGTGGAATGACAAGACCTGTGCACAAAATAACTAAGACATGAGATAAATGAGATAAATGCCTTTAAGAGCGTGACATGTGATGTGGGGTTGGGGTGGGTGGGTGAGTGGAGAGATTACTTCTAGCCAGGGGAGAATAAGAAACACTTTACCAAGGAAGCTGAACTGTGAAGGATGGGAAGCCTTTGGCACCCAGAGAAAGGAGCAGGAGGAAGATCGAGCAGGGAGGTTGTCTGGGCTGCCTTGCACGAGTGTGTCCTGCACACAGGCACTGGCTGAGGAGGGGAGTGGGAGCTGCCTCTGCCCTGGGAAGAGTCGCCTTTTTCTAATCTACGTACCGGTGTCACATGGCCTAGCAGGGGCTTGCAAGGGGAGCATTTCAGGGAAAGGGCACAGCACAAACAAAGGTACCGTGCTGGTTAATTGTATATGTTCGCTTGGCTGGGCAAACATTATTCTGGATGTTTCTATGAGGGTGTTTTTTTTGGATGAGATTAACATTTAAATCACTGGACTTCGAGTAAAGCAGATTACCCTCCGTAATGTGGGTACGTCTCGTCTAACCCACTGAAGGCCTTAGAAGAAAGACTGACCCGCCCTGGGCAGGAAGGAATTCCACCAGCACACCGCCTCAGGACTCGAACTGCAGCTCTTCCCAGCGTCTCCAGCCTGACAGCCCATCCTGCAGGCTTTGGCCTCGCATCTCCATTATCCCATGGGCCAATTCCTTAAAATCAATCAATCTCTGTCTCTCGGTGGATCTCTTACACACACACAAACATGCCCATCCAGTTGGTTCTGTTTCTCTGGAGAACCCTGACTAATACAGGCACTGAGGATGGGAATTAACATGTACTAAATACTTTCAGTGCACCCTAGGCTGTTTCCTGTGCTTTAGGTAAATTTTCTAATCTGATCCTCATTTTGCGAAAGGGTTATTCCCGCTTTACAAAGGAGGAAGTAAACACATAGGGGCCATAGTCCTATGTCCAAGGTTACAAAGCTGCCATGTGGCAGAGCAAGGAACTCAGTCCTAGGTGGCTCCAGGGTCTTCATTTCACTGCTTCCTAGAGATGGGATTGCTAGGAGATACTTCAGACACATTGAATCAAAAACTGGCTGTTTAAAAAGACTAAACAAGATAGACAAACTTCTGGCAAACCGACAAAAAAGGAGGAGATGTAAATAAAATACTGAATGAAAAAGAAGAAATTACTGCAGACATAATAGAACTTTAAGGAATTGTAAACATGGTAAAAAAGAATATTAAGGCCAATTACATGCTAATGCATATGAAAATGCACATGACATAAGAGTTCACTTTAAAAAATGAACTAAACAAAATATACCATAACCAAGTAAAGTTTATCCTAAGAATGTTAAGGGTGACTCAACA